GGGGGCTAAAAAAAGATCAAAAATTTGTTTTTGATTTTTTAGAAAAACGAGAAACTACCGAACGTTTTGAATACGGTACCAAATACTACCAATCAACCACCAAACGATTGGTAAAAAAAAATATATCAATAATCTACTTGGGGGGGCTAACTTTGTTGAGGTCGCTGACGCGAGTGTGAGAAAGTTGTCGCTGCCATCTATGAGCAACGATTTGAGTAAACCTGAGCACGTTTGTTACCAAAAATACGTAAAAATTTTCAGTTATCTTTTTTCTCATCGGTTTCGCTCAACAAGTGTCTTAATTAAAATTACGAGATTTTAACCTACAATTTCGAATCTTTGATAGTGCTTTGTCGCACGGCGCACGGGCGGATTCTTCGCGTCGCGCGGTGTCGATTATCGGGCATCGGTGTGAAGTTATCCGCGCGTAGTTTGAATTTCTCGCCGGCCAGCGCACATCGGTCATCGCTCGTCCGTTTATAACTGTCGCGTCGCGTGCAACGACCGGTCATCTTTTCGCGTTATTTACTCGTTCGTAGCGGATCGTGCGTGCCATCGGGAGCGTCGTACAAACTTCCGAGCGACTGTCACGTTGTGGGTAATCGTGTTTCTCCAATGGACATGTGTTTGGATGAGCGAGTATCCAGAACGACGAAACGAAGCAGCCGGAAGCCGGAGCAGGGCGAAGGACGGGGCGGCATCGATGGTGGTCGACGACGGATCGGTGAGTAAAATTATTTGCTGCATCCGCATGCTCGTTAATCTTCGCCGCGAGCTTAATTACGCGATTTAACGGGACGAGATCGTGAGTCGGCACTCGACTGCCGATACAAATTCACGGCAAATAAGTGGAAAGTAGGTTAAATTAACCCACACATGCGAGAGAGAGAAAAGTGTCGCAGAACAAGTACTTGGGATTTCTCTGGCCGCTTGCACGCGCGGACCACTTTTATTCGATAATATAAAACTGTCGTGGTAGAGTTGTTACAATGGCGTGCAGCGTTCATTTCTCAGTTCCACGTACATCTCGTGCGAATTGATTGCGGTGTTCGTTCCGCAATATTCCCACCTGATCAATCATAAAATTATTTAATTAATTATTATTGTATGTACAATTTATTTCGGCTTGTTGCATAAAGCTTGAATGATCTGTAATTCGCATCAGATTTTAATTCAAAATTCTAGTTATAATTTTATGTGCTGTACGTTTAAATATGTATATAAATAAGTAAACATGTCATATATGTATTTAATAATTAAATTTATAAGATATATTTTATATATTTAATTAAATTTATAAGAAATATTTTATATCTTTGATAATTAATATATAAAATATGATAAATATATATTAACATAATATAAAAGAATTATATACACATTTTTTTACATAATTTCAACGCTTGTATTTGATATAATTTCTCTTGGTTTTTGGTATCATATGACACATAAAATTATAAATAGAAAATTCCAGAATTCTGACACAAATTATAAATTGTCTCTATAATCGGCTTAAACATGAACTTAATCACGAGACGCGATAGAGAATTAATCCTCTTTCTTCCGAATAAATCTGATAGCTAGCGAGTTTTTATCGAAATAATTATATGCTGCGCATTTACCTATGGCCCTTACGATCTTCGAGAGCCAGTTTATTGAAAAGTATTACGTCCGTATCCGGATCAGTGTCCTCCTCGGTCATGTTAAAAGTGCGCTGATACGAGACGACACCGACGATTGATGCAACATCTTCCGTTAACGTGTCAAAATCCACTGCCGCAATGTTATAAAACGCCATTTGTTCGTTTATCCGTTTGGATAAGCTTGAATAATATTTCGAATATTACAATATTTAACGGCTCTGCTACGTAAATTAACGCAATTTACGAAATTCAAATATTTATCTGATTTTATCAAATATTTACACATAGATAAATTGTGTAATTTACGAAACTCAAGATTGATCTTTTTTTTCAAATATTTATGCATACATTGTGCAATTGTACGTTACAAAAGAATATAATTAAATCACTATCTTTTGAAAAAAAGAATTGTAGAATTAAATGCCAACGTAATATGTAACAAAAACTTTTAAAATTCATGCGATATTTATTATATAGCAATTTTTACTTACGTGCATGGAATTCTGAAGAGTGTTGTGGAATTAGCAAGGAAGATTTTGAAAAGCAATATACCAGATGTTTTTAGCATATTTTCGGACGTCATCACTGATGCTCTGACTGGTTGACCTGAAATTTACGACATTTTCCAAGTTTCGTAATAATAAGGTCTCGTATAATTTTGCTTAAATATAATTTCGTATAACAATTGTCTAATAATATATTTGTATAACAAATTAGTATTAATGTCAATATTCTTCTGCTTTTCTATATTTACTCCATTTACTCCAATGAATAGATAATTATATCCTTGTATTCTGATACCGCAAAACGGTGTTTCGGCTTTAGTCGCCAGATAATAGATTCCCAAGGCTCCACGATTAGCCGCGTAACCCATCTCTTGGTTCCAATTCGTTGATTCCATAGGGAAGCATGTCCCTTTTGCATAGGATATTCCTCCTTGTGGACAGGGCCATGCGATAAATTTGCATTTCTCATTTTGCGAGCGGACGGTCTCTATATAGAGCTGAAAAGCTCTTAAATGGCTACACGCTATATTCTTGTCCAATAAATCCTCTAAAACAAATTGTCGAAAAAGAGATAAATGTAATAAAGATAATAATTAATAAAAACAGATAAATGTAAGATAAATGTAATAAATATAATTAATAAACCGAGTAATAAACATTTTTTAATGAGAAACGGATTAAATACTTTATGATAATCGCAAAATAAATCTAAAACTTTTTTTTTTGACGTTATTAATCAGTACAATTTGCTAGTAATGTGTATTGAAAAATTAAAAAAACTATATGGGAATAAAATATTTTAAAATTTAGACACGATATAAATATTTTGCATCTTATAATAACTTTAACTGACAATAAGTCAAAATTGAACATAATTAAATGGAACGCATAATTAAATATTGGACTACTTCCTGTTAGTGTATGATCGCGCTCGCGGATCACTTTTTAATTTACCTTTCAAGTGACTGACCATCACCGAGTTCTTAATATCGGTGCAGCCGGGCTGCTCTCTGCCGCCGTTGGGGAAAAAGTCGATGTGTCCGATCGGCTTAAGTAGGCCAAAGCCATCCATGAAATCCTGAGAGCCGTCGGTGTGAATGACATCGACGAGACGGGCATCGGTGGCATCCAATTTTCTCGCCCTTTCCCGGAACAGATGATGCCTGAAGAAGGGTGACGCCGGGTCGAGACCCGTTATGCGACCCAAAAGCAGACTTCTCTTTTTCAACAGTTCCGAGGCGCAGCCGGCCACGTGTGCGCCGAGACTGAAACCGATCACGTGGATGTTGACGGGATCGACCCCCAAATTAATGGCGTCTAAAAGCACCAAGGCCAATTGCCGGCCAACCAGTTCGCTATTTGCCACCGCAGCTCCGTAAGAACTGCCTGCCCCCTTCGTCCAATCCAAGATAATGACGTTTACGTCTTCCTGTACGCGAAGTTGAACAGAATTTTGAAGATCTTAACATTTCTTTAATGATTGCTTGAAAATACTTTCTTTCGATTTACAATGGTAAATCGAAAGAAAAAGATGTTTAGTTAAACTGTTAAAACTGAAAGATAAACTCCTGAAGATTACTATATCGAGAAGGAAATTTATGCCAAGTAGTGCGCCGACGTCGCTTCCGCTGCCCTTGAAACCGTGTATCAACACGCTGAGAGGCTTGCTGACATTGAATTGGGAATGAACGATGGACTTTAAGTTGTCCCCGTACTGTAAGGGTTTCGGATTTTGCCGGTCCGCACGTGTGTAGAGGAAGAACCTGGTTTGAATTACGTTAGGATGCTCGGGTGGCCGTTTTATCGATAAATGCGGCGGCGGATCCGCAAAGCAACCGAGTAGATCTGAAATATTTGACGATATTGGGAAATAAATATTTATTTTAAGACATGTTAAAGTTCCGGAAAATTGACCGTTTGTTATTTTATCTGGTTTAAAACTTTCTTCTTTACAATTTTAACATTTGTATTAAGAGAAAATAATTAAAAATTATTTTAAAATATACTTGTTTGAAAAGAAAACGAATTGCAAACGGAAATATCGAATTTGTATTAAATTTGTTTATGTCAACGTATTAAAATTATTCTAGATAAAAGTAAAATCTGTGTTATCTTACCGTAACAAATTTTACTTTTTTCCTCGCGAGAAATGGCAATCCGTCTTAGCATACCACGATTTCGCGCCGTGAAACGTTTGACTGCAAAGAAATACAGTATCACTTTAACGGGAAAAGTTTAATAACGGAGCTTCAATCGCGATATTGTGTACATCTGCGCGTTATTAACATTTCTTTTGCCTGATCGCCCCACTTATACTTTACTTTCACCCGCGGAGCACCGCAAATTATCATTGGCACAACATCGCTTCAGTACGATTTGCGCGCCGGTGGATGCTATATAGTCTGCGCTCCCATAATTTAATTTTCAATCTATCACAACATTGCAATATTGCATCATGAACCCTATTATGATAGTCGTGCTGTGAAAGTGTGTCATATGTAAATGCGACCTTAAGGTGCAAAGTACGTCGGTATCTCTCATCGTGCGAATGTTTGTTTCGTGCGCATAGTGAGCGTGTGTGGTATTTGGTTTATGTGATTTTTTTTTTAGTTGAATGACATTTCACGACGGAAAAATTTAGATATTCTGCTTCTGGCGACTTATATGCGCGTGTGCACGGCGCACATGTCTATACAGCAATTACGTAACAAATATCAGCAAATTATGCTGGTATCAACCTATATTAAAGTTAATGAACCATAAACGCGGTGGTCCGATCAGTGAAGATTTAAAGTTACACGATATATTTGGAGGGGTAAAGCCTTAGTGATGTAAGTCAAATTTTTTAAAATATTGACTTACATCACTATATGGCTTTTACTTATCCATTTATACTTTAACGAACTACGATAATATTACGTTTCATCGGCAAAATCATTTTTTTACTTAGAAAAATATTAAAAAATAATTGGCAAATACACAGTGTGTATAAAATCATGTAATCTACATTAATAGATACGAAAATGATGAAGAATTTTGACAATTTTTATTAGCGCAATACCTGATTTTCAATCCAAGCACTTGATTGTTATTTTTATTATTCTGATGTAACACGTTTAGCATTATATTCGTTAGAGTACTTACCAGGCTGCAATTTTCCGGCAATTGACGTAATAACAGCAATGATCATCAGCAAAGCAAGCAGAACACGATGAACGTTGACTGACCGCATCTTGCCACTGAATCGTCGAAACTTCGCGTCCTTCGTGGAGATCGTTGCATCCCGCTTCTCCTCCTTCTCCCACGCTTTCTGCCGCTTCTTCTTCTTGGTCCTCTTCTTCTCCCGCCGAATTGCTTCGCGTTTCTGTCGCTGTACGCTTTTTGTTTGCCTACCGCCAGACTCTGCGCCCAGGAACAAGCTCTACCCAACTGTAGAAAGCGCACCTTCTATGAGCAGCCTTCTTTTTGCGCAATCACCTTTCCGCTTGCCAGAGCCTGACGACTGCTCCAACATTATAAGTCTAAGTTTGCGACAATTCGCGACAAAGAAATTTATTTGACGTCGTCTATTTTGTTTTTGTTTCACTTACGTTACATATTTTCCTATTTTTGTATTTTTTTTTAATATATTAAAAGATTTAAATAAAGAATAAGTCAGTTTTATAATTTTATGATTTTAATCTGGAGAATCTTCCTTTTCTTTATTTAGAAATTAATTTTTCACGTCAAACAGAAAATATGCCGAATTTAGATATGTTCTCGATTGATAATCTCCCATCGGTAAAGTTCAGTGACATTGGCGTGTGAGTACGCTTTCGCTGAATAACTACGACTGCCTTGACATGATGTAACTATGTCATACCATCCTCCAATATAGACAGAAACTGCATGCGCGGCGTTGTACGTGCGACGATGCATCGCTTTCACTCAAATAAATTATATGCGACGTGTCTTCTTGCATAAAACACCTGACACCGGACGAAATAGAAAACAGATCGATTGCCCCATCTATATGGACAAGCGATTAAACAGGTTGGAGTAAGTGCGCGTTCTTTTTTACGTTCATATATCTCATACGTATCGCGTATGAATTATCGCCGAGTAATTAATGTAGCGTTACGACTTGCGAAACGGAATCTCTTAAATAATTCTAGGCGTTTCTAACGCAGAACTCTGTTTTACGGGTCAGTACGGTCAATTTCTTCGGCTTAAATTACTCGTAACCGGCCGAGTCAGTTTCGCGATTATGCAAGTGTACACACTGAAATTACATAAACTGAAAACAAGTTAATTATAAGTTATGCACGTTTCGGTTATGCTTTGCTCAAATCGATTTTACATCATTCTAAAGCAACACGCGTAAAAATTGTGACCCTTACCTCTTTCAAAACAATTAACTTAGGTGATAGATGTGAAAACAGCTATATAAATTGATAATACCAAATACTTTCACTTCTTTAACAAACGTATAAAGAAATAATAAAAACAGCAAAATAGAAATTGTATTATTATTCTTTAGAATTATTAATTTTTTGTTTACTTCTCGCAATGTTAAGATTAAATTTTTAATTTGTAAACATCTGAATTTTACTTACCTTCGATTTTATAAAATTAATGAATTTTTTTACCAAAATTAGATCAGAACATCACGCATCCAATTAAGTTTTGTGCTGAAAACTGACCACGAAGAAGGGACAGAGACATAGCAGACGATTACTTATAACATATTTATTTGTAATGTTTTATTAATATACTCCTTACCGTAGACATATATTTATATCGTATGGCAGCATATTATTATGATATTGTATAATATAGGTGAGGTGACTGACAGAACGATTCATTATTTTTCTTTTATTACTCTCCGCGGCCGAAGAACGACACACGCTTATTCATTGCTCCCTCCCACGCTCATTCATACCCGTGTCCACACGCACACACGCATACGCACATATTGAAACACACATACTCCGTACTCGTCTACGTACACTCATGCTCCTAATTGCTCCATTTATTCCGCTACAGTCTCTTTCGTTCCTTCCTCTCGCAATTTCGCGAATCGACAAAGCCGCCCGAACACTTCTTTCACTTCCCATTGCAGCCTCTCGACCGGCATCTCGCGTTCGTCCCGCACTTCGTCGATTCGTCTCCCGCGATTAACTCGCATTCGACTAATTAATTGCGCCGCGCGCGTCACACGCGTATCGACCGCACGCGCGAACCTCTGCTAATTGCGATTATCGCTGGATCGCGCGATAATCATGATAATTATTATGATATATAGTCTCGTTTATATTACTCGCTCGTAACATTATCTCATACTTATCTCGCCTAGTTAAAATATCAATATACATTATAATATACTCTAGTAACGATAATGCAACACGTCGTTAATTTATTATACTTTGCAACTTAGAAAAATAGTCCTGGCTAGCCGCGGCCGCGTCGCGTGCGCTTTCTCGCGCGATCGATCCTTCAAAAGCGCTCGATATTGTTACATGCCTGTGTACATCCGACATATATTCTACATATACATTTATCTATATATATATATATCTATATATCTTTCATTTTTCTAATTTTCTGGGGCATTTCGCGGTCGCCTAGATCAACTTATGGGAAATATTCCAAGGGATTCTCTAATTGACTAAATCCACCGATCGAAATCGATCGCTCGTTTCTGGGATACAGAGGAAAACTCTCCTCCAAAGTGGTTATCTATGAGTTCTATCGATCCCTCAATTTATTTCGCATAGGCGATCGGCGATCTTTTTTTTTAACAAACGCGCAGCTCCAGTGAAAAATCAATGTGTCTTTCACTATTTTACGTCGTATTGTGTCACTCGTAAAATATAATCAATGTCGTGCAACACAACAAATTAAGAGCGACATTATAAATACGTGATTTTTATGTTTTATTTTATCGATGTTTAATTCTAAATTTCCATTTTTTTCCCCTTTACTATCAGAATCGAATTTTGTCGATTTACATATAAATAACATTTTCTTCTAACTTAAAGGCATGATTATTTCCTATTTTACGAATGACGCTAGGAAAGTTAGACGCTAAAATAATTTAATAAACAAAATGTTCGGATTTTCAAGTTTCGTTTCCTTTCCAATTTGAGTATAATTATAAATTCTTGCGATTGTCAATTATTGCCGGGCATAACCAAGTTCCGATATCAAGTGATCAAACACATGGTCATGATCGAACAGAATCATTGACACATATTGCAGCGCGCGTTGTGTTATTTATTGAGAACGGCGATAAGTTAATCATTCTCGCGATTAAGGAGCGATTTTATTTTTGTGCTTGCTTCCCGATCGCGGATGACTCGACGCGGTCGCGATGCAATAAAATCTATGAAAACAATTAACGGAACAACGGTAGTATTACCCCTTTGAAGTTGTCACGCTCTACTATATCTACTGTTGATTCTTTTTTTCTTTTTATATATATATATATGTATAATCGGTTAACGAATCGCTCGTTCGCGTATCGTTGACTCGCGCGTCGGACTGGCGCGAATCTAAAACACCGACTTAAGCGTCGCTCAACAGCGAAACTGGAGTCCTACGTATATCATGTCGCACACGATATTACTCGACAAAGCTCACTCAGATTAACAATCGAGAAAAAAATCAGTCATTTAAGCATTCGAGAATCGCGACGGCGTAACTTTCCCGATTGACGATTTTCTCCTCGCAACGAAATGCAGCGATCGCTTCCGAATTGCCAAACTTAACGAACCTAATAACAATAACGACGAAAAAAATGAAACGTTTAATACGCTACATCTAAAATGAAATTTACGTCTCGGCGCATCGCGCGAATTTACGAGACAACGAATCTCGTTTAACGAATCGTCGATTTTTTTTCGTTACATCAAAACGCTCGACCACCAGATAATCAACTTATCGTAGAAGAGCCTCTAAAAGGCATAATTTTCGTATTGCAAGTAATTCTCTTCGTTTCTTTGGTGTTAAAGTCGACTAGTATCCACACACTGCGCTCTTGCACTTTCTTGAGATGTGTTCAGCCTTAACATTTTTCCCGACAATTATTATTTATTTATTTATCAGCCCAATCTCTTTTCTCCGTCGAAATAATTTGGAGAAAAATGTGTCGCTTGAACTTGCAAAATTTTATTCTAAATTCAGGCAAGCAGATTTATCTCAGTAACTTCAAAATTAAAGAGACATAAATTGATGACGGCAATTATTTTTATAATTACGAAATATTTTACATATAGATTATAAAATTACGAAGTGCGACACCATATCATAACTCTTTGTTGTAATACTTTGCCGTCATATCTCTATGTTGAAGTATATTTCAACATAATACCCTCATTCTAGTTCCAATTTGAATTTACAGATAAATCAAAGGGCATGTTCGTATAAGCTTTTGGGAAGAACCGAAATTTATGAGGTTCGCGTTAAAGCTGAACGCATGATTTACAATTGACGCATTTGTATATCTCGTTCACTGACACATATCCGCATATTCCCATGTACTCGTACACGCACAACACGCAATCGATCGATCCTCGTCTTTCGGATAGTGAATTTTCATATTTTTTTTTCTCTTTCTCTCCCTCTCTCACGTATTATCGGTTCGCATAAGCGGCCAATGATCTGGCATGAGACGCGGCGACGCACCCTCGCAATTATAACACTAATATACCGACACGCTACTGTTTGTTTTCGTTTAAATATACATCTACTTGCTTGATATAGCGATCAACGATAGTCGTCCTCTTTTTTCCTTTCTCTCTTTACTACGATTCTTCGTTCGCCCCACTCGCTCTCGCTTTTCAGCCGTTTTTTTTTTACGCGCGCATATATCTTCGCCTTTTCTCTCTCTCTTTCTCTTTCTCTCCCTTTCTCGCCCCTTTTTTGTATACTTTTAATGCTGCAGTTTCGATTAGAAGATCCAAGTAAAATTATTTAAATGCTGGCAATAATATTTATCTAAGTCGCGACGATAGTTCTCGATTACTGCGTAAATACTGATAGATATACTTGTTTGTCGTTTACGTTGCACCACCATCTTCTAGTATCTCGTCGAGTATCTTTTTCTCTTCACTTCACTTTCGTTTCACTTTCTCTCTCCCTGTCTCCGTTTTTTTTTTTATTCTTTGTCGTATTTATACCTTTCTCATATTTTTTTTAATATTTATATATTTATATCTATATCTCTTGCTTTTCTTACTGTCGCTTCTACTCTTTCCGTTTCGCTCCCTTTTCGTTTTCCACTTCTGTCTTTTCTCTCTCCGTCATAAATATATTTGTAGACTTAAAATTTTCAATTTATAGAACGATTTAATCGCTCAATCATGCAGTTTTACTTCTGTTTTCTTTTTTTAAATTGTATCTTCCCTCTTTTTTTCTCGCGATCACTCTTGCCACCTGTCCCGCATTCTCTCATCAGATGCATTCTCTACCTTTCGCGCTTTCAATTTACATTAACAACTATAGTCGTTTAGTCTTGTAGACGTCGATTACTCGCCGATTACCATGATTTACTTCAAACCGTTTTTCGCGATTACAATCTTTGACAGCATATATCATCCTTGTATTCCGTATAATTACTATAACTGATATTATAATTAGCAGTCTGATATATTTGGTATAAAAGAATTTGACGACGTTGTTACTTAAATTTAATGAATTTATATTTGTTTGCAATATATTTTTAAACCGTTTTACTTGTAATTGAGTTTTTCGTATAGTTTCATGATAATTTACCGTTATTACGATAAAAAAATTATATAAGAAAAGATCTCTTTAATTTTCGGAGTATTTCTAATTATATAGAAAATAATTCTATTTTGCAATCCCCGATATCGCTGGTTATTTATTGTATTATTGTACTTATCGTTATGCTACTCTCTCATTTTTGGTCATTTCTTATATTTTCCGTCAAACTTGGCGCGATTTGAGTGAAAAGAAAATTTGAATTGCGAGTATACGAATAGGAAGGATCGATCGAAAATAGCCTTAGATCTTCGACGGTAATTAACGTCTTGCATATTCCCCTTCAGTAGTCGTGTATGATACATTTAGTAACTGTGGTTGTACATTCGTACTATATCTTTGAGTTTCGACTAACAGAGAGAGTTTACAGGCTTGTCCCTAAGCACTAAGAATAATCAATCTTTCGCCCCTCTCTTTCCTCTTCGCGCGATTATGATCGATAATGATATAGTTCGCAATGATGCACGCATTGATATAGTGTGTTTACGGGAGAACGAACGCGCCTCTGTGGTTTACGTATGTTTAACGCGGCTAAAACGATGCGGCAATTCATACGGCACTGCAGCGGGTATGGAAAAGATTGTGATGTGTGAAAACGATTGCCACGAAAAGCGACGTTTTTCACGAAACGAGCAATGACAAGAATGAGGATCGTCGCCAATCGCGCGAAGATGACACTCGTTGTCCTCGCAGAACGCCGAACGAATTATTTTTCTAGGTTTTCCGCGCTTGTTTTCTTATAAAATTGGAAGAAGTAAGTGAAGTAGAAATTTCCGATCGTCGAAACGGTTAACATGCTCGGTTCCGTCACGTAAACTGGAAGTCGTAGATTTGTGCGAGCTACGTGCTGAATGAAGCGTGAAAACGAAAACGAAGATCGGCGCCGAAGTAGGATATTAATGACATAATTTAGAATTTTATTTTGTACTGGCTCTCGATCCAAGTCCAACCCAATTCGCATTTTATACATCGTAAGTGTATGTGGAAATTCGGCCGCGGCATTAATCTCTGCGTCACTGTTGATCTCGAATAATATTTATAGTAGGGTTTTAATCATAGGATCGATGTACAAAAATCGGCTTGTAGAAATTCGTTTACTGACGTGCCGTAATTCCAATGCTGCAAATAAATGTAGATGGGCCTAGCTATCGTTTCCTTAAAGATTGAGTAAGAAAAAATGTTTTTAAATATTGAGAAAAGGATAAGTGTGTTAAAGTGTTTATTGTTAAAGAAGGCTGCAACTTTCCGTGAAATTTGTCTCGATGAGAAAACCTTACGAACGTTAGTTAAATCGCCGAGTTTTGCACGTCACGTCTACGCTACTGTTCCGTATGTCAAAAAAGAAAATAGAATGAGAAGATGCTACGTAGCAAGAAAATAAAAAATAGGAAATTCTCGTTCAAGGTACAAGACGTGCTTCCCGATTGACTGTCGGGTCTAGGTCGAAGCTGCGACTAATTCTAAAAGCGTGTTTCTCGTTCGTCTCGACCGGACCGTACGAAACGCAATTCGCTTTCCCTAACAGTTAATACAGTGTTGTGAGGCCCATTTTGTTTTATTTGTTTTACCCCTAACGCACTTTCGCTCGCTCTCCATCTTCTCACGATCCTAAATACAAATCATATCGACATATCGAGGGCTCGCAAATTCTCCTTTGTGTTTATAGGCCCGTCTGTTTTTCTTTGTCTGGAAAAAGAAACGTGTCTTTCCTCTTTGTTTCCCTATGATATGTAGGACGATGAAAGCTTCAGGGTAACCCTATGACCTAATGATGCCCCTGCTCATATGATTCATTCATTAATTTCGTTTTCGCACACCAGCCATGAGAAAAATCCTGAGAAACGCTGCTTCGAACGGGGATGGTCTCACATTGTTTAAATCACTCAAGTTGAGACTACGTCGTATTAATTCTTTTAAGTTTTCTAAGGAAATTTTATTAAATATCCTCTGCACTGCTTTCAGCTCAGTTATATATTATATAAATGTATATAAATTCAATAGTATTTGAATAATTATTTCAATGAAAATTTCAAAGTAAAATAAGGTATTTATAAGTTAATGTTTCTTATGATTTAATACGTAACCATCGCGTTCAGAGTATCGTTTTATTAATTTTCTCCGGCATTATTCACAATTATTATCTACAACTCACACGTTTGCCTAAGTAGGATGCATCCTGGGTGGGATATGTGTGTTCAGAGCGATTTCGAATGATATACATATTTCGATAATTACACGAGAAAAGCTACGCTCGAAAATACAGGTGTACATATACATGACGTGTGTGTTGCGCGCGTTTTTATATATATGTATATGTGTGATTACTTCCTCTTTAGTCATGTTGCGATTCAAGTCTTGCTCACGTGACAACTGAGACTGAAATTCATTATTTACAAGCAGCGTCTTCACATCCCTCCTCGACCTCCCTCGTCCAGTTCACCTCGGTTCCTTTTACGCACGAAACTCTCCCGAGAATTGCGTCCCCCGATTATGTAAATTATTATTATTATCGCTATTATGTACAGCGTCTCGTCTCTCGAGAAACGCTTCTCTCGGGGAAAGGAACGTCATCTTTCGACGTCGCAGCTCAAGCTTGAGAGAAATTTCCGCGCGAGATGATGAAAACGATCTTACTAGTTCCAGTCGAAAAATTTGCACATATTGATGCTAAAATATAATTAGCAATTACAGAAGATTAGAAATGAAAATTTGGAGTCAAATAAAAATTTCCAAATAATGTAACTATGTCGCAGCTTGGAAATATTTGATATATTTAACAGTAAAGTGCAAAGGGATGTCCGATCTTATGTATTGCGTTTTCACCATCGCAACCTCAATTTCCTTCGACATAAAACTGAACGCGATTGCGGCGAGATGGGATGGCGACGCTTATCATTAATATACCGACTATTAGCTATTATTATCTGTTCAGAGTCATTGAGCACCAAAAAGGAATGACAGTACATTATTAATCTCTGCTTTACTTTTCCAATGACTATTCCAGCGACTATTTACAATGCTAACACTCTGCACACGTCGTGTCGCGATCGGTGACTCGGGGAATTTGACTCTTCCGCGATCTTCTCGCGCGTCTTCGGCATATACGTATGTCGCGGAAAATATTCTCCGCGGATCGCCCGGCATCCGGAAGGACGAAGGAAGAGCAACGTAAATCGTAGCCAAGCTGTGCTAAAAATCGTCTCGAGGTTTTCTTTTTCAAGCGCTTTTTAGATCGTTTTGTAACACGAAGAAATTGGAGGCGATTCTCGGATTTTTCTCAGATCGGAAAAATCTTACGGTTCAAATTATGCGTAGGATTCCTCGAGGATACCGCCATCATTATTTAAACAAAGAATACGCGGTAATGGTCTTTGCAAAATACTTTTTTTTCCGTCGGCTAAGCCAACCGCATTCGTAATCGATCCATCCATTTATTTGAATTATCTCTTAAATTTCTTTTTTGATAAAACTACCGTGGACATTAATGCTTTGCCGATCGTAAACGATCCCGTTTGTTTGGAAGGAATCGGAAGGACTTGATCGATCGTTCTTAAAGAAAACGAAAGGGCTGATGTGTGCGACGAATCCTTCCGCTTCCTTTATGAAGGATCGATCGCCGTATCGGATGTAATGTTTGTCAACCTCGCGACGATTCGGGTTTGGGAAATAGCTAAAACTATACGTATAGTATACAAGTGTTATTTGTAGAAAGTTAATTATGGTTCATTTACGTACGAAATTTATGGTGTCGGAGCGCGGAATAAAAACCGATGCGCTCCGCTACGTTCTGCTTCTAACTTATAGAAAAATCATGAAAAAATTTTTACTTTTTCTTTCTTTCTTTCTTTCCTTATCTCTCTTTTTTAGAAACGTTTTAGTATGACAAACGTGGTCCATCGTATATATATTTATATGTAAGTGCTAAGATTCAAAGATCCAGTAGACTTGTATCCATGACATGGTAGTCATTTGAGAATATCTTATAATGTAATTGTTAACATCGCGTGCGATTATACATATAACTTATAAACAATATATGTGTGCAGTAGCAATAGTATATTATTAAGTTAGAAATATTTAAACTTGTGCGCTCCGTCCCTTACAGCGAAAAATCGATTTGTTTAGCCAGAAATTCTTGCGTTTCTTAAAAATAATAAACTAATACTTAGGATTAATTTGTTGCTGAATAATTAATTACCTTAATTAGCTTAAAAAATTAAAATAAAGCTAGAAGTGTCATATTTTTGTCACTATAAAATTTAATTAGGGTCTTATTAGAGATACGATACATTTTATAAAAAACTTTCAATTATTGATAAAACTGTGCCCTCTTTACATATATATCGCGATTATTGATTTAGCATAAAAAAGAAACTATATCTAATATATGTATGTATATATTATATATATGTATGTATATAAATTTTTTTATATAAACGTGCTTGCAAAACCATTCGATCGAGAGTTCTAAAATCGTGAATACAAGTCTCTGGATCTGTTTAACGCGAATTCCTCCATAAGTAATAATAATAATTTCTTGATTAATGAAATGCGAGTGCACAAGAGAATCAGGTAAAGCGGGTTAAAAAATTATATTTGTATATCGACGTTATGCCCCTTGCTCTTCTCATTATTTTACTATCCTTCGATATCTGCGTCATCTCCTGGCAAGTCGTAAGCAAGTTCTGTGAATTTCTAGCGTGACTCTCGAGCGTTCTTGACTGACTTTTCTTTTGTTCCCGCGAATTTTGTTATTACGCGTATCTTTCCGATCTTTTTTATTCTTTTCTATATCTATCCCGACTCGTTTCTTTCGGAGGTGTACTCATTTTTTAAAATTCGAAACTCGACTGTTTAATACGGCCAATCAATAGCACGAGATCGGAATACTCTCTGTTACCTACCTACTGTTTTTTTTTTTTTTTTATTGAAAGAAGAGATGCAAAGGGGAGAAAAATGATAAATAAAATGTGGGGATTGCGATTGTGTGGGAAAGTCGAGAGCACGATTTACTGCGTCCGTTTGCCGTCCCTGTTCCTTTGCTTAGCTCAATTTGACCAAGGGGTTATCCTGCGCGAGCGATACGAGGACTCTCGAAGGACCTCGCGTTACATCCAGTCTATGGCGCGCGCGAACAGAGGGATATTTTCGAAAAATTATTACATAACCAAATTGCGGATATAGAACGCGCGAAGATCCCGATGAGTAATATCCTCTAACGAGCTTCCGCTATCCTGCTGATCCTCCGGCCGCGTTTGTCACGTTTTTTTTTTATCGAAGGAGAAAAACTTACGAAAAATTGCATATCTTATCATTTATCGATAATCGCAAATTTATACAGGCAAACATGTGTAATAATAATTATTTTTATTAAATATTCTTAATATTTTTAGATAATGTTTTTCTCGGTAAGATACAGAAATCTGGAGACTGTTTTTGGGTATTTAGATATAAGTATCTCTTAGATATCTATACTCTGTGGAAACGCGTTGCCTCAGAATTTCTGTAAATCTTAGTAGGGATCAAACGTGACTCTCGCCGCCATCGAAAGATTTCAATTCATTTCGGATCCGCGCGTCAGCGGAAGAAACTACCTTAAATTAAATCACTGGCCATATCCTGGACTCCTTGCGATCGACACGTATCGCGGCTCGTTAAGTCTCGATTAATATGTATATATGTATAATGTGTATGTATATAATGTATATAATATATATATGTACGTAGCTATAGGTATAACAACAGTCAATTATATAAAATTGCGGCAGTGTGCTTTCACGTATAATAGTTAATGTTAATCATACTCTCATTCTTGCTCTCATTCTCTCTCTCTTTCATAATTGATTTATTACTAAAATCAGGACGGCGAGGAACACTGGATACTTTGTGTCTGCGTCTGTTCTTCATGATGAATTAAGTCGATCATATTGAAAAGCCAAGACCTCATATGGGCTTATAAGCTTATGCGTTATGGAGTGTACGAATTCTATCAAAAGTAGAGCACAATCTACAATTGAAGAAGTTTGACGCAATGCGGGTACAAATTAAAAACTTATGATCTACAAACAAAGCACTTAAAAATTCACAACGCTCGATCACGGAAATGGATTGTATGAATATTTGACTTTATTCGTAAATGTGTATTGTTTTATTATTCGATTCTTGTGAACATTGATTCGTAGTGAAAATGTAACGCCAGCATCCCGCAAATAATTTAAAAGGAATTGCTTCGAAGATGAAAGGATCACGATTGGCTTTTACCTATGAATTCTACTTTTACGAAAAGGGATCTTTGTTTCTCCGGAAAATCCGTTGATATATCCGCGGGGAAACGAAAGAGGATACTTTTGGTACCCGGCATTCACTCGCACGCACTCACCCACGCAAACACATCGAACGACATTCACACAGTCTGGGGCTGGAAATACAGCTAGGATTGCGTATGGCGGCTCGTATATGTATACGTATATATGTACACGTTACACTCAGCTATACAATTAGTCTCGGTTTCGTGGCTACTTCAATTAAAACTTTACTCTCTCCCTATCTCCTCGCCCCGTCGATTTGCCCTTCGCCCTAAACCCTCGAGTACGGTAACTCTCGCGCGGTAACGCTATAACTGTGCGGAAATAGGTGATTACGCGGATGTGTATAATATCTATTTATACGTGCGTGTTTATACAGGTTACAGTGCTCCTTTTTCATTTTTTCTTCATCGCGAACCAAGCCACGAGTGAGATCGTGTGATAACAGTGTGTTACGGCGATAACTATGACGAGTCGCGATCGGCGCTCGTGGCTTCGCTCCGAATCGTAGTGCGTGATTTTATCGTCGCTCGATCGTTTCCAACAATCACGGCGACGACACGGCTGCGTCTACGTTTAATTCTCCTCCTTTCTTCCCTAATCGTTTATTAATTTTACGTTAGTTCATTCGCGCCTCTCTCTCTTCTCTAGCGCTCTCATTTGCTCATTGCATTTTCGCATTCTTTCTCTCGTTCGATCATCGTTTTACTGCTTTAGACGTATAATAATACTGGCTATTTTTTACTCGTTTTTACGTTCCCCGTTTTTAAAAGTATAGATAATTAACGGTAGCATTTCTGTTTACTCGTAATTATTATCGTTTTCGGTCAGTTCCTCCCGCGGCGGCTTCTCCTCTGCTCCTCCTCCTCCTGTTCCAATCATCCGCGACCCAATCTCGGACAATCGATCGCCCGGTATTGATACAATAGCCAGTTGATTGCCCGATACTATATCTATGCGCAAACATGTCCGAACGAATCCGCCTATATGTCCTATTGTCGACATGTAGAAACACCACCATGTCCTCGCGCTCCCCTCTTCCCCGGCGTATGTATAACATCTTTATATATATTATGTATATCGTCTAGTTCAGCTGTTTGTTTGTTTGTTTGTTTGTCGGTTTGTTTGTTCATGTATCTTTGTTTTTGTATACGAGAGCTAGCTAACGCTACAAGTAATAGTTTTTTATCAAAAGCACACACGTAATATCGTGACTAGTCTACGTATGTATATATAATATGTATATATAGTATATCGCATATAAACTGATTATTATGTATGCCACATGCGCCTCTCTTCGTTGACCGGCTCGCTTAAGTTATGTGTGTTGTGTGTCATGTGAGTCGTGTTGACGTTAGTAATGCCGACGATGACGACGTGGAGGGACTATTCCCTTTCTCCTCCTTTTTCCTCGTCCCCCTTGGTGGCCCGAGAGCATCGAGGGCAAAGTGTGCGCGATGGATCCATCTGCGATCTAACATTTGCTCCGAGAGACCATTACTTGTGAAAGGCTATCGAGTGTTTTCGAAACAAGGAAACTCTCGTGACGTGCGGAGGACTGAACGTGTTTGAGGACTGAATTGTTTGAGTTGCCTTCCCAGCAGCGACTTTTTAATAACGTAACGTAAACCATCTTCACCTCCTTACTTGTCTAGCATTTCGGTTCGAATTGTAGTTGCTTCTAGCAGAATAGATATATGTATATCCATCCCTGATTTATCTTCCTATGACGAATAACGATCATAGTATCACGTCTCTTCGTTTGATTGCTCGACCACCTCCGTGTAACGCTACCTTTTTATGACTATATTTAATTAAATACAGTCGTAAGTATACGTATCGCATTTTATTCCTTACGAAATTTCAATTGCGATTAGAAGAGGCGATAAATCGAGACGTAACATTCAAGGGAGATATTTACTATCGCTAGTTTTTATTTTACTACATAGTAGCTCCAGCATAATGTAGCAACACTGATCGAGACCATTTGTCCGTCCGCCTTTTCCTTTTCTTGCTCTCTTCTCGTTTAACTTTAACAACTCCTCGCAAGCGAGCATGCCCATTGCAACAGAATAGACTGGAATCAATCAACTACCGTAACTCTCGATTGGGGTGCGCAACGAAGATTCTTACGAATCGACATTCGAACATTAGCACCGTGCGAGACTTTCGTCCAGATCACTTTAACATGCTCATCCTATCTCGTATTTAGCTAAACGTTATCAGCCCCTGATAATCCGAGAATATTTACGATTCTACAAAATTAACGATTTTAATAAAATTAACTAAGTCGCTTTCTGCAAATTTGTTTTATTTCCCGAGCCGATCGGTCTAACTTTCAATCTTCTGTCCGTCAATACCACACGTAAGAATTGACGAAGCAGCCCTTAATTCGTCTACGTTGTCGAGGAATGGTCATCTCCGTGGCTTCTCCGTTACTCACTGCGCACACCCGCGCGACGACGACGGGCCACAATTAGTGCGTCTTGGACATATGTTGGTGTCGATCGTCGTCGCTCGCTTCAACGTCACCCTCGACGCCTTTCTCGCCCTCCTCGGGATGTTGGGGATTACCCTCCTCGGTGTCGACGCTGCTCGTAGGCGTCACCTGCTCGACGCCGACACCTGTACCGGCGCCGGCGCCGACGCTAATGCCGCCCGACGTGCTCGATGTCGTTGTCGTCGTCGTCGCCGTCTCGTCGCTCTTTTCGTATACCAAGTTGCCCAGGAGGCCCTTGTTAATTGGCTCTGGCGAGGCCTCCGACTCCTCGCTGCTAGGTGAACCGGGAGACGAGACTATCACCTGCGCGAACAAAATGGACCCACCGTCAAGGTGTGTCGGTTAGTCGCGCTCGACGTCGTATACAATTGAAATTCACGAAGTTTTATCAGACGTTTCGAATTTCTTGATACAATAAAATAGAAAAAATAAGAGGAAAAGAGAGAAAGCATATACATAGAATCCTTACTACTGAAAGTTATTAGAATTAATATAGTTTTTTCATCTGTCTAGATAATATGTTTTTAGATAATTTCTTGAAATGTTCGAAACATTTGATTAACTATGTGGATGACACTGTATATATATTCTCTGATACATATGTTATGGAAGGATAGTTTCCAACCATAAGCTCGATAATAATATATAAAACTTGTGTGTTATCCTATATCGTCAAAAATTCTTGCAATTTATATTTCATTTTGTACTTATACCTTTTAAAAAAAAATATTTGATTTATTAAATAGAAAAAACAAGGCCAATAAACGAGCATTAAAAGATGTTTAAAAACATATAATCAATAGGTATATATACATTGTTTTTTCTATTTAATTTTTAATTTATACGAGCGTAGTTACTTTTTATTTATATATTTGATTTATATTACGAACGAAATCCAACGTGTATTTTCTAAGAAAATTAATAATTCTGCGAGATCGTTTTCAAGTCGGTTCTGCGTAATTTCGCGGATACCAGAGAGTCGTGGTAGTGGAATGCAATTGTGAGCATACGCTAAAATATGTGCTACATCAACGTAGAAAAGTATTTACAAATACTCGGCATGTTGGCGACATTTAGATCGTATAAAACGTGATAGCATGAAGGTAGAATGAGAGTTACATGAATGAATGATGAACGTTTCTCTGATATCTGAGTCGGGCCATGCATGTGACAACGAACTAAAGGCGGCTGATGTACACGATAATGAAAACGATAATAACGATGATACCTGTGCAAGAAGCGGCGTCTCTGTGCTGTCAGCGGTTTGGTAGAGCCGGCAATTTGCGCTTGCTCTGAAGAATACGTGCCCAAACGAAAAAAGATAAAGAAGACAACGTAAATTGTCATTATAATAGGAATGACGTCGAAACTATATACACAAAATGGAAATTATATCGACCCAATATATGCCCGTAAAAGATACAGAAATGACATCGAGCATGCACGAAGGTATTTCGCATAAATGATAATCTACCTATGGAATATATGTACATAAACTTATGAAATTTCTATCGCGAGATATAATAATGATTAATGGTAATGACTAATGACAATGAATGACAATCGCAAACTATTTCGGCTAAATATGTTTCGCAGAATAAAAATAGACTTTTTCTTAACCAAGAATAATTTTTTCAAAAATACATTTTTTCCTAGTCAGTTTTTTCTCTCTACTTTTTGTAAAAATTTATATTTAATTAGATAAGTTTTTTTAATTATATTAATTATTATAGTGTTTTATATCGTAATTGTTTTTACTTTGACGTGACAATTTTTGAAATTATCTTTGAGAATAATTGATTGAGAAATGATTGAATATTGATAGAGAAATGATACAACTTTTCAAATTACATACTCCTCGAAACACTACATGCGAAAACGTTTGCGAGTTTGTAATAAGTGGAAGTTCTTTGATCGAAATCTCATCGTGACTGAAAACACATAAGCAGGGCGAATAAATCACTAAATGGCGTAGATTCGATTTCGTGGAAGCGCGTCGCGATTGAGGTTGTCTGCGAAGCGAACAAAGGAGAAATAGAATCGGTACTTTGCCTACCATGCTGTTCAACAATGTTTCAATATGCATAGGATATGACAAAAAGCGAGAATAGAGAAAAACTGAGTATATACGTTCAGAATATTTGGCGAGCGTTTTCTCGATCGGTTTTTCTGGTCCCGAAGTTTTTAATTGCTCAAGCAAAGATTTACGCAAGAACCAGAAAAATCAATGCAGTTGACCCTAAACAGTATAAAATAATTTACATAAAAGTACTAAAGAGACAGACTCTTTCTAATTTAATAAGAATATTATTAGTCGTATATTCTTAAAGTCTTTGATGATATTCTACATTTCCTGCGTTTAAATTTTCATAGGCAGCTCAAGATCATAAGCATTTGTAATTCAATAAAGTATTCGTAACGAAAAAAGATCAGAACTGTTTAGGGTTAACGTTCACTTCGACACAACGTTCGAATCGTGCGAGAAACGCACACGTATCGGTGGCCTACCTGACGAGGCTTGACCGGTGGTGGAGGACGAATGGAAGGTCCGAGGACTGCGGCTACCGTAGTTTGGGGTTGATGATGAAGTGAGGGTGGCTGCTGCCAAGGCAGCCCTGTGCGTCCCAATGTTCCCTGCAGTTGCACCTGTTGCTGCAGCTGCTGCTGCACTTGCTGCTGCGCTTGCTGCAGATGCTGCTGACTGCTGCTGCGCTCGACTACTGGCGTAACTCGAGGAAGTGTTGAACCGACTGAAGAAGTCTTCCGAACTGTCTGTGAAATTAGCTACTGATTACTCGGCTCTTAGACGACCTAATTTCTTTCTTAACGCGCACGTCAGTAACTAAGCCCAAGTATAACAATTAGAACAAAATCAAGTTAAATATATGGAAATATATCATCGACTTAAATCTACGAAAGAGCAAGTTTTACGTAAATTGATGAAGAACAAGTACATTACCTGACTTTACCGGCCAAATCTCCAGTAGGTACTTGAGTACGGCGATCGGCTGTTGGAAATCCAATGGGGGTCCGTTTTCTTCCGAGTGTAACATCAATACCGGGCCGAAGCAAACGGCGAGGCTTGCAGGTGACATTTTATTGCACTGCGACACCACCATCGCCAAATGATCCAGCAAGTAAATCAACGTGCACTATTAAACCAAGAACACACGTAATTAGAATCTGAGTATAATTGCGGGAAAAAAAGCCTCGTCGCGTATGTAGTTTTACTTCTTCTGGCTACGGTCAATGCATTTAGAAATAACTTCGTGGATACGTACCCTGTTGACCTTAGGCAGGCAATCTAGTATACTGAACATAAGCTTAGCGTTGCCTTGCGGGTCGTCCGGCAAACAGACGGCCAGTGCGTCGACCATCATCTGGTAGAGGCACTTCGTGAAGAGAGGTTCCGGAAGTTCCCGTAAATAATCCTTCAATACTCCTGAAAAGGACGGTCACGATCAGTCGTCTCGCGTTTTTCTTGGAATTATTTTATTGGAATATTTTGCGACACGTTACCAGTGATGACGTTGATGTCCGGCACGTTGTCGGGCGACAGATTCACGGACCGTGCGTTCCTCTCGAAAGCTTCCCTAAGTATCCTCTTTTTGGTCGCCGAACCGCAGAGTCTATACAAACCTGTTGCACCAAATAAAGCAACAATTTTTATGGTGCACACACACATGAACACTTTCGATTTCGAGACGTTTTCTATTATTTGTTTGATACTTACCGATAATGTCAAGTCCTCTTCTCTCTACTTCTTCGACGCAACGCCACACAATAATTGGAACATTCGGGATTCCCATCGCCAAAGCCGTGGAAACTCCACCAGGAACTCCACCAGTTTTAGTTTCTCGACTCACCTATTTAGTTAACAAAAAAAAAAGATTATTACATATTTTAAGATTTAAATGGATCAATCTAGAAAATATTAAACCTCTTTGCCTAAAAATTAAAGATTGCTATAATTTCTCATTATAAGAAGGGGAGCTTACCACTGTATCCAAATCAACCCCGAAGAGAGGCGCTACCCTTGTAGCTAAGGATATGACCGGCAGACCCCTTCGACGGAAAGTTTGTTGGGCGTCGGTGTATCGTAGTTTTAAATAAATTGTGCCACGTGGCTCGACCTTCACGGCTAGCTGATGTTCCGGCGACTCTTTCAGCAGACTCGCCAAATGTACCGATCCCTTGTAACAGAGTTTATGCCTGTACTGTGGGTCCCAAGAGTAAACGAGCAGATCCAGCTGCCGATTGCCTACGAGGTCCAGCTCGAAGGTTTCGTCCCAGTCAAACATCAGATCACCGGTTCGCACTACCGTGCGCGCTTTGTGCACCCTGTCGCACTCCAATACGCAGTACAAGTCTCTCAAGCCGCAACTAGCTATAGTTTTTTTTTTTTTGCGAATTAGTATATTTATATAACGTAGAATTGTTATATCCAAGATTGGCAATTGCGACATTACGGAACATTATGTCGTTTAAGTATATGAGATTAGGGTAAAGCAAGCGAAGTTTCCGATAGAAAAATATGGAAATTATTTTACTAATATTTGCCGATCTCGAACGACGCGCAGGCATACAACTGTTTCATCTAACGCACCTAAATTCGGCTGACCTGAGGGAGTGGAAGGTGTAGTGGCAGCCGATGAGGTCGTAGTCGATCGGAGACCGCGCCCCGCTAAAAGATGGACCGATAACAATCCGCTGACTCCGCTTGCCAAATCGCCGCCGGTCGCATCCCCGAGCGAGCTCAAAAGCGAGCTCGTCGAGCTTGGAGTGCCCACGGTCGGCGGCTTCTCTATTTTATACTTGAGGAACTCTGCGAAGCGAAACGATCTTTTTAGCGCTCTCAATTTTACGAAACGAGGCGGTAGACAGATACGCGATAGACTGTCTAATCACCCGCAGGATTAATATCTAGCAGTATTTGACCCTGAGTTCTGGTAGGCGTTGGGGTAGGTATGCTCCTCGTAGATTCCAAGTCCAACAGGTTCCTGATCCTCCTGACCGACGTCGCCCGTTGACTCGCGGAGCTCGTCAGCGATGCTTTCTGGGCCGCGAGCGATGAGCGCGCGCTCGAAGCCACCGAGGCTGGCCTCGGATTCGTTGTACCGCGATGACACGTCGAACTGATCGCCGTCGATGCTCTCAGATTCGCGAGATTGACCTGTTGGGCCGAGGCCGATCTCGTCGACAGGCGATCGAGCGTGGTCGAGAGCGGCCTGTATCCACCGTAACTGCCGTAGTCACCCTGCATCAGCCAGGAAGAGATACAGAATACTTCATTACATGCATTCATGACTTTACAAGTGTCTGCTCGATTGAGTAATACCTCGATATTAAGTTTGAGATAAAATTACAATTTATATGAAAATCTATTGAAACTAAAAGTAATAGTTTAAATTAATGATCTAAATTCAAAACAATTTAAAGATCAATTAAACAGATTAATTGATTCTTATATCGTCTTAAATTTAGATTGACTTATTTTACATGCATATAAATACATTTTGCGTATTCATATTTTACATTATTTCTATCCATTTCTATCCTAAGAAATTATGATCGAGTTTATTCATCAAATGTAAGCTAGTGAACTATTAATAGAATAACAGGAAGAGCTATTAGGCAAAATTGATTATTCTATAGTTATTCGTGGTAATAACAAATCTAGCGATATTATCGGTCGATTATCGGAGTTCACTGCGATTTTACCTGATTAACAGCTGCATGAATGTTCTCGGCGCTGTATGTGTAACGGGGTGGTCTACTTGTGGTCGCCCTGATCTGCTCGTACAGGGCGCTGGTACTCGGCGTGCGGCTCAGCCAGGCGCGATACTCGTCCGACGTGAACACACTCGGCGAGGACGGTATCCTGCCTATTTAACGGTGGTTCATGTTAAGTACAGCCCAGCCAATTGCATTGCCGGTTATTGTCTTGATTATCTGGGGCTTACCTCTGTCACGTCTGATGGAAGGCAATTCCGGCGCTGATAGAGCGCCGTCGCTGTCCTCTTGATCGATCAGGCCCGACGCGACCGTGCTGAGGCCCGACCTGAGACCAGGTTGTTGAGGCAACGTTCGACCGCTTCGTGGTAATGAATTCGACCTTAAACCTACGGCAAAATCTTGTAATTTAATGAGAAATGCATTTTGCCGAAAGCAAATTGAATAATTGAATTTAAGATTCTTATAATTCTCTGCAATCTTACGTCCTTTGGACGTAATTGCACCGCATTTATTATCTCATTATCAGTAGTATTTAGACACTACTTACTACTTACACATAAAATTTTAATACTCAATGATTATAATTATAATTAGCAAACTCTTTTAAAATATATATAAGATTCTTCAAATTATAAGTCGAAGAACCAAACGCTTAACTAAATTTGGCTTATTTCCATGGAAATTGATTCGTAGAAAGATTATCAACCGCGAATAAATCCGGAACTTTGAAAGTGCCTGAATATAATTAAGCTCGATAAATGTCTTAACTTACCTGAGGAACTCTGACCGATTTGTGACCTCGATAGGGTAGCTAAATGCGACACGGCGCTGCTTTGAGATGGATTGTTCATATTGTGCCTATAATAGTAATACGCTGATTTCGGTGAACTGGAGCATGTAGCCTCGGTGTCGGAGGCATAGTCCAACGACGGTCGATGCCGCCTCGTCAAGGTGCCGAATTGTCCTTGTCTCTGCGCGGCGGATGTTATGTCAGTCTGTCCGTACCTCGGGTTGTAACGTAATGCTGATGTACCTAATAACGACACAATGCTATTAGAATATAGCAAATGCATCTATTATCAAAAATAGAAAATATTAACTTCACACGTTTTAACTTTATTGTAATGTATAACATTTTCTGCCGAATTTTTTTCATACATTTCATATTTCTCTAGATCTTCTTGAAACTACATTATCATTGCAATGATTTCGAATTGAATAAATTGTGTTTTCTGCGGAATTTAGGAACTTGAGAGACATAGAGTGATATAATTCTTATCGAAGGAAATTTCCATGTATAGATCTCAAGAGATGGTGAGAGAGAAAGGGAGGGAGAGAGATAAAGTAGACGCTTCGATGATAGGTAAACTCATTACGGACCTGATTTCAAGCTGGATCTAAGAAGGGTATGTCGCGCCGGCGTCGTGATGCTCGTGTAATCGACTCGGGGTAGGTGCTGGTCGGAACCACTCCTCGGCATGATCCTTCCGCTTCCGGTGTGCTGACCGTAGCCGTAATGGGTCGACTGCGTGGTTTGGCCCGACAATCTGCCGCCGACTGATTGCATTCCACCACCCGTCGACATACGCCGGCCGCCGTTCGAGGGCATCATGGGCCCCGTGTAGAAGGGGTGTACCTAATTGCATGATCGCACGAATCCTTTGAGTATACTTCGTTCGTCATTCCTTAGGTAGATTTTTTTTAAGTTGCCGATCGCCGTGACTCGCGAACATTCCCGTTTCTTTTTTTATCAATGATTGCCAATTTATTGTCAATAATTGTAATTTTTTATACATTACAACTCTGGAATTTAGATTCTTGCGTAAAAAGTAACGTCAACGGCAATTACAACGATAATGTCTCATCTCTTACGGTCGATCGACGACATCGATTACCTTTTTTTAGCGATGATATTTGCTTATAATATGCTTCGTAAGCTCTGATAAAAAATAGATTAATATAAAAAAATTTTAAACTTTAAAAGAAATGTAAATACGTTGATCTGTGCACAATTAAATGTACACAAAATTTCTTTAAAATGTTATAAGGCTTAATTATATATATATATATATATATATAAAATTTTCAAGTGCAGTCTTTGATAAATTATTAAAATTTATAACAGCTGAACGCGATGCTGAGCAAAGCGCTGGCAATCGATAATCGATCGAACGCGATAACACTAGCCATGGCAGTGATTAACGTTATCCAAGAACACAGGCACAAAACGCAATCGAAAGAACAAACGGACAGCAAGCTTGCAACAAGGAAACATAAAATTAGGGTTCACGTCGCAAACAGCGGCAGGTGTACGCGACTACTACGGTTTAAGAACGCACATAAATATCCGTTAACTCGCGTTACGCTTTTTCTAGGTAGAACTCTAAATGAATGCACCGGTGCACCGTCGAGAGTACGACTAAACATTTCCCTCATTTGTTATTAAACGCCCCCCGCGATTATCTCGTTTATTAATTCTTAAACACGTCGCCGGATAATTTATTGTATCGCGAGTGTAGAAACTTTTTTTTAAAATTAATTCTTTATTAATACCAAAATTTAGTCTCAAGCTTTTGCAATTTTTATGATTGTAATAAGAGGAATAATTTGATTAACGAATAATTATATTTATAAATTGTTGTTATATTATTCCGTAATTTCTTTGATTATTCAATGAAAGAAAAGATACAATTTTTCACATCTTTTTTACTATTCTGGCAAAATGTATATTTAATCTTCCGCATTTTACTGGCTCGATCTCGGGCTTTACATTTAAAAACTAGCATCTCAGCAAAGAATGAAAGAATCTACGTTAAACTTTTTAAGGAACTGAGGGTCTAAACGATGATTGAAATGTAAAATGCGTTGCGTGGGGTGGAGGCATTCGTTCGTCGCCAAGTATATACACGAAAAGGAGGGAGAATATATTTATACTCGTCCATTAAAGGCATTGTACAGAAAATTGCAGTCATACACAAGTCTAGATATCAAGATAGAGTTTGTGTTGTCTTTACCTTTGTAAAATCCTGGTTAATTTCAATGTAGCATTCATTCATAGAACCGATTAGTCATTTGAAGCACGTGGTCGATACGCGAGCGGATCGGCGACGCTCCGCGTCGTTCGGAAATGCATTCGTTGAAATTGTCAGACATTCGTTTTCTCGACGTTTATTCTCACGACCGTGTTTGCTTTCGGGATCATCGGGATAGAATCGGGATAGAAATCCGATACACAGAGCGAACTTACAAAGAGTCGACATTTTATGCGAGTGACATTTCGATCATCGCGAAATACGCGATTATCTGACATTTTTTATTTAATTCTCCCGTTTTGCAACGCATCGAGAAATTATTTTGCGAATTACTCTTTTTAATTCCGACAATCCGAATGACACGGAGATCGCGAGACAGCAAGTGTCCCGAGACATTGCCACGAGTTCACCACTTTCTTTCAGTCGTAAAATATAGCGTTCATTGGAGACAGTGAAGGACAAACGAGTATCGAATTGGTGCAGACAGGTGTGAAATGGTGCTCGATCCACATCGTCTAGAACATCTATGCGTAAACTACATCGGATCGAGATCACATAAGCGACATGTGTTTCAAAAAAATTAATGTCAATATTACGACGAATAATAGAATCGTCATATTCTGTAATAATTAAAATTAAATAATAATCTTCTCATATCATGAATACTAGAAATATACATTGTTGGAAAATTATTATTACCATTTTATTCAAATTAGTATTTAATACAAAAAGAAAAAATATTTATAGCTTTTAGTACTTTATGATTATCCATGTTATATATTATTAATTATTAAATTACCGATTCAATTAGATATTAAAATTCAAAAATTCTTTACTCTCTAATTTTTAACTTATCCCGAAGAACGATTTGTTCTTCGGTGATATTCTCCGTCGTTCTGATAGATCTCGATCCGCGTCAGGATTTTCGTATTTTGGCACTTGAAACATCGCCCAAGACTTACTTTCTCGGCCAAGCTCTCTAACGTCTTCGGATAACCGCGCTCGTACGGCTGAAAGTGTTGCGTCGACGAAGGTTTTGGCTGGTGCGTGATAACCGGCGGCGGTGGTGGTTGATAGGACCAGTGACCCTCCGGCCGTGAATTATAGTACAGATCGCCGTTACTCGATCCGAGATCTTGGCTCGATCCCAAACCCGTGAGGCCGAGTCTCGAACGCGACGGCAACATTTCGCGCCCGTCGCCTCGTCTACGGCTACTGCCATCCCTAGACATAAAAAATTGACCTCCATACATTACTCGAAGTCGCTAATAATAGGGTTTACTGTCTTAATTTATTTAAAAAAAGATTTAAACGATGTCGAATATCGGGACTAACATAGTACTATTGTTGTAATTGGAGGATTGTTCTGGAATATCGGCTTTTCGTTAACAACCAATTTATAGTCTCAACAAGTTTCTGTACGAGAAAAAAGATAAAAAGGTTTGTAATGACGTCAGCAGTAAAGCCAGCCACACGGTGTCTTTAAATAGCCAATTTGTGAGATGTCTTTCGACTATTAATTCAAGAAATACATACAGAAATCAGTCCGAGATAATACCTGACGTGATTACTTGTTGCGTGGTCACTCTCGTCCTCGTTCAATTCCCTCTTGATGACTACTACCGGCGGTGCCTTGTGCTCAGTCTGGCGGCTGTGCGAAATTGGTTGATGTGGACCGTGCCTCGTGGCCAGGACAAGTCGCCTCGGTATCGACATGATGATCACAACGTCATCCAGGCTCATATGCGTCACATCGACCAGATTCACCGCTAGGATCTCGTCACCTACCTGCACGTGCGAATGCATGTTGACTGGCGAGTAGCCGATAAAGACGAGAAACGATACCGCGGCGAACAAGAGGATAAATATCCCTCCCGAATGCGGGACCGATCGATGCCCGAGACCCGCGAAATGTCAAGGTGCAAAAGGATAAATTTAATTCGGCGCGTACTCCCCCTCCCCCCCTCTGTCACGTCTCTCTCTCTCTTTCTTTTTCTCGAAATAGGTTCCCAATCCTAAATGGCTGCTCCGAGCTCGTTCCGAGCACCAGCGGCAATTAAGTTCTCGCCTGATAAAAAGAAGACGAGGCGACGATTCACGGATGTGTCTCGATTCTACTCGCTTCCCTCGTTTTCTCCATCGCGTCGGTTTCTCACTGTCGTCGTCCCGGGCGGGCGAACTTACAGGACGACGATACTCACCTTCAAGCAGCCGCTGTTGTACACGGCGGTCTCCAGGGCTATCCTGGAGATAAAGACTCCGTCGTTCCTGTCGACGCCATTGCCCTCGCGTATGTAGAGGCCGAGGGTCTGTCCCGGTCGTTTGATTATCTCGACGAAGTGGATAGGGTGCTTAGGATCCTGAAACGAAGATCGTCGGCGAGCTTTCTTAATTCGTGCCGTCGAGATATTTCACAGCGTTCGCGCGCGCGTCCCGAATAAAAATTACCCTGCGCAAAATTGCTCCGTTGTCGTGAAAATAATTTTCTCCCAGAATCCCCGGGTGGTACAAATTTAGTCGCGGTGCGAGCAGATTGTTACATTCTGTTCGTCTAACTCTGTGTGGCAAAGTTAAATTCGCGGAGAATTATTATCTCTCGATATATCTGGATAATTTGCTCGATAGTTTTAACAACAGTATCAGTTTCTACAATCATGACGAACGTAGCAAAGGATTATTTTGAAAATTAAGTAAAATAAAGTAAAAAATACATCGCACAAAATCCGTCTAATTTTAACTGAAACAGTCGAGTTTAATATTAAAATTATGCGACCTGCTTTATATTGGGTTTTAGCAAATTTCTGAAATTATATCTGTATAATTCAGTCTCTCAGTAAAATAATAAATATTCGTGCATTTTTATATATCCCAAGCACTAGTAAAACAAAAACGATAAAATATATCCAAAGGTTTTTTAATGCTATTCTATAATTGAATATGGATTTATGTGGAAAAGCAAGGAGATATATACGACGAACAGGGAGTTAATATGTTGACCATAACGAAAGAATTGCGCGTCGTGTTAATTTATGACGAGATATTTCGTTATAACGCAAATGAATCACAATCTGTCGGAAACAGACGGCTCATCGATAACGTACCTGCATAGCAATGAATTTTTTCGCCGCCTCGGAAGCCTGTCTACCCATTTGCCGAGGCTCAATGACACGCACGACCATCTCGCCTCTCCGCTCAACAGCTTCGAGAGCCGCCGCTGTCGATGCGTCATGATCGTTTTCGACAGTCTCGATCTGCTTGAAGATCTCTGTACTGATCCCGCTCACCTGTAACGGTACATCAGCCTTCCGTTTCAGAAAACGCATAGCGAGATTTTACTATCGTTTGCATGGACCGGTGGAATTGTCTCGATGACGAAATAAGTAATGCTTTTCACATTTATTGCTATTTACTAAATATCATTTCTATCATGCAAAATATACGAACATTAATTAAAAGATAAAACATAGCAATAATGTGTTTGATATAAATAATAAATAGAGAAATATTTCAACTAAAATATATATGATTTTATTAATTATATGATTTTTATGTAACAAGATATTTTTACTTTTAGGAAAAACAAACATACACACACAAAAATTAATTTCTGGCTTTGTATTAATAATCAATTAGTAAGATATCGCTATTATATTTTATATATTTTATTACTCACTTTGCTTATTCAAGCAAAGATTTATGATAGTTTGATTTAAATTTGACATGTTTAATATAATAGCGATCAGATTACGTGAACAATACGTGACGATTAAAGCACACGCCGATACGTTTCTGTCGGTCGTCGAGACAGTTTCACGAGCAACACAATAGGGTCCCGGGTTTCGGAATCCATCGTCGCGCTGTCCGGCAATTGAAGTTTGCCGACACAACCAACACTAAATTCGTCCATTGTGTCGGCAACGAGTTAATGAAGTGTCGCCACTACCTTCCTGAAGTCTCCTTGAATGACCATGGGGGGTGGTTCCTTGGGGCGCAACTGGTTGGCAGGTGCCTGCCTCCCAGGACTTGCGCTTATGTCTGTCACTTCCCCCCGGCCCTCCTGTAAAGCAATAACCGATTATTTTCGCCGTTTGGTTAGGCTACTCCTAAAGTGATTAGGATTAATTATTGCAAAACGGAACGACAAATGAAAAATGACGATCGTGTAAGTTCGGTCGTCGAGATATTAGGCGCGATTGTGGGCAACAACATGCGATATCGAGAAAATTTGAACGTCCGAGTGGTAGCCCCTCATCGAAAGCGGATTAGTCAGGGTCTAGATCAATGATAACCACAGCAACCAAACTACATATGTCACGGGTCAGCTACATATATCGCATACTCCATTGGCAATTACATAACTTGGCTTCCCCACATTTTACGTCATATAGGATCGCAATGATTTAGAAAGTCGCGATTATGATGATAATGAACTGATAATAGATTTATGTAATTTAAGTAGCAATATCATCTATGTATTTTTTTTGGTGTTTTGTAAATCAAAACTTAATTGAAGAGTTATTTAAGTAATTCAAAATTTTATTTTATGTTATTTCTAAATTGAAGAGATTTCATATAAGGATTCACGAAGAAAAAATTATTTACTAAAATGAAAAATTCAAATCGTTAATCGTTACTACGATCAATAAAATTATTGTTAAGTGCAATCTGATAAAAGCAAGTGACAAAAATCAGACGCACTTAAACTTCTGCTTCTACTTCTTGAATATCTCATATCAATCTTGATTATTAAGATGTAAACCGTAATAAAGTTACCAAATATATTCCAGAGAAATTATCTAAAATAGCACTTTTTTATTCGAGACAAATACGACGTGTAAATGTAAAACTAAGATCCTCTCAGGGGCAGAAGGGAGCCCTAACAAAGCACGCGACGTCTCGCGAAAACTCATCAATCTGTCACTTCGACAACGCACAAGCACCAGCCGTAAATCCTCGCGCTCGTTGACCGTGATTTCGGATAGATTCGCACCTCACTGAGACTATCGAGAAAAACGTACTCTTATCGAGCCACGCGAGCTCATCTACCTGTCACGAACATCACCGTAAATCTTCGAGCTCATTCGTTAACCGCGGTGTCAGAAGATACCGAAGGGGGGGGGAGGGTTACTCGCTTCTAAGGGGACTAAGATTTTTGCGGGACAATAAAACCTTTAATCGATCGCGCCTGCCTCGAGCAAGCTCATTCCACCTGTCAGCACACTTAATAGTCGTTCGCGATGCCGACGGAAGAACTAGCACAAAAGGGTGAACCGTGGGAAAAACGCACCCCGCGGAGGCATGTAACCGGAACGAGCCACGCGGCAGTGCCGCACATCCGGTCGCAGAGCGACAGCAGGGACATCCACGCTGCCGCGGCCGATTTGCAGCCCCTTTCGCTCGCCGACGGCGGCGGCGGCGGCTCCTGGAGCTCCTTGCCGCCCTTGCTGCCGGTAGCCCACCACCCCCGTGCTCCGTCCGTCTTCTCTTTCCGTCTCTCGGTCTCACCCGTCTGCCGGGCGAACGCCGCCGCGCGTGTCGCGCTACCCCGTCGCGGCGGTCCCATACGTGCGCGAGTCGTCCTCGGCTAGCACCGTTCAAGAAGACGCCGGCCGGTCTTCCTCCCTTATGGCCTGTCTCTCTCTCTCACGAGCGCCAGACCACTAGCCCCTTCTCGATTTCATGACTGGCGGACGCCCGGACGGTGCGAAAGGGCGCGCGTAGGATGATTAGTAGGTAGGTGTCCGATGAGGAAATGAGTGCGACAGAGTGAGAAAATGATAAATAGACAGACGGAGAATGAGGAAGCAAGAACGAGAGAGAGAGAGAAAACGCGTGGATTACCTTGCGGAAGAAGAAGCACCCCGAGCCACCCCTGTCGCACATCCTCGCCTACCCCATGGTGGCTAATATGGCGGGAAGCGGCGTTCAGGAGCGAGTACGAGTGTCGGCGGTACGAGTAAGGGGTAAAAGGCGCGCGTGCGCCATCACCGGGGGGTTATCGTGTCGCCGCACGCGGAGGAGTAGTATGAGTGAGTATCGACCCGGCGTGACGTCACCTCACCCCCTCCCTCGACGTGCCCTCCCTCTGCCTCTGCTCTCTTTCCACCGCGACGTACCCCATCTCACCGCGCTCCTCACTCGGTCTGCCTCTCTTCGTCCTCTTCTGCCTCCCCCCCCTCTTCCTACGCGCTCGAGCACTCCTACTACCTCGCAATGTACCTCCAACGCTTCTCCGCCATCCTCACCCCCCTCTTTCCCTCACCCTCTGTGTACCCATTCGATTTCTCTCTGTCGCGCCCGCTGCTTCTTTCCGCGTCATCCTCTTCTCTCATTATCTTGGTCCTTCCCGTCTGCGTAGTCCTTCTGACCCTCTGTCTTCGCCTCTTTTCTCTCATCGTTCATCCCCCGAGGACGGCGCTTCCTGACTCTTCGTATTCGCGGTTCCCCACAAAATGCTCTCCTTCTCTCCAGGTATTTTTTGGTGTTTCGGCAATCTCGTTCACGCCTTTTTACTCGGACTGAATTACGCATGAACACCCCCCTGCTAGTTCATTTTGTCCCGTTTTGCTTTCGGGACGCTCTTTGAAGCGACCGAGTCAGCTACTCGCGTAGTTCTAGTTCTTTTTAAGCCTCTTTCCTTGTCTCCTTCCCTCCTGTTATCTATCTTCACGTTCCTCGCATTTTTCTTGACCGTGCGCGCAAATCGCCGTTGTCTCTATGTCCCTTAAGCGTCGCTTTTCATGCTTCTCTCACCTCGCGCATGTCTTCCAATTCTTTTCTTTTTTTTCTTCGCGATGCGCTCTCGTTCCCTCTCCTCCACTCGCGCGCCCTGTCGCTCTTTCTTCCCTTTCCCCGAGAACTTGCGTTCCGTTCTCAGCCCGCGCGGTCGCAGCTCCCTTCAATTGGATTTTCCCCGTTTCGCTTACTTCTTATTGCGCTCGCTGCCACTCCACTTACGGGTGTCAGCGGTCGCGCGGATTCTCTCCTCCGACCTCTCACCTCACACGACAGCGGCAACCTTGCGTTCGCACTTTTTTTCGGCGTTACGACGGATTTTTGCGAACCCATGAGAGTGGATTTCTTTCTGATCCGTACTCGCGCTCGCGTTCACCCTTCATGCATCAAAGTGTCGTTCCGGTCGTCCGGTTTCTTCTACCACGATAATGTCCCGAGTTATTTCCGCGTGTATCTCTTCACCGCGTCCTCTTTTCCCCTTGTTTTATCGCTGCATCTTTTCTGACACGTTTCTGCACACGATATCAGTTTGCACGTCGCACATTCCCGTATTATTTCACGTGTCATCTCGCGTGTTTCCCGAGTGGTACTTTTTCCCTCCCTTCCCCTCTTCCCAACGTGCGTTCGCTCTTTTTGCGCTCTACCCCTGTGTGCAGTTCCCGTATACGCTCGATATACAGAGTATTTACTTTTTCTCGAGGTTCTTCACCCCTCCATCACGTCTGTTCTCGGCTACTACTTCCCCATCGCGCTCAACTTCTTGCTCCACATATGACGGCGGTACGCAACTCCATTACAGACAGCAGCTGCGACTTGAAGCCGGCGCGACTCGGCCCCCGGAGCGATAAATAAGCCCCGGGCGAGGAACAAACGCGAGAAACGCCAGTAATGCACTTTCCAAAGTAGTCTATATCATCATCCTCTCGCGTTGACATAATGCAAGTCGTTTTCCAGCCGGAGGGTCACCTCTTTGTAGAACTTGTAGAACGTGAAGCGACATTGAGCAAGAGCAGATCGCCGGTATTGAATGTACAATAATATTTTTATTGAAAAACATTGTACAGCAAGCTTACGCTGTTTCTCTCGCGAAAAACAAAATATCAAAAAGAATACGGGAAGCAGTCCAGTAAAATGTAGAAAAATGATAAATACGAGAAATATCTCACAAAGATTTTTTTTTTATAGAGCTTCCCTTGATATTAATTGTTTTATTTTATCTCATCTCTTGAAAGAGCGAAAAGCCAATGTAATAACGATGTCACTTTTAGCAAAATAATTCCATGTCGAAAACATCAAAGGTCACGAGCTGAAAAATTGATCTCGTTGAAACTTCGCGAATAATGGTCAGCGATAAAATCTGCAGATAAAAATCCATCGGAAGGTACAAAGACCTCCCTGCGAAATAAACTGATTTCCACCGCCAACATAATCCGTTGATTTCCGGAAGGTCTGGTAATGGCCATTACGATAATTTGGGTTACGGCGATCTTCGAACATCCGCTTCGAAAATCACGATCTCTCGTTGAACTGAACGGCTGCTCTTCTCCCCCTCCTGGATCTCCATCCTTGTCGGACCACCCTCGCCCACCCCGTCGTTATTTCGCCGACGTGTCCAGTGACCTACGTGGATGCCCATCGCGATGATTTACGAGGTAGGGGAACGGACGGACGACCGGATTCTTCCCCACCAAGCGCGCGGGCGAGGAGTACGGCGCGGCGTGAGCGTAATGGACGGTGGTGACAATATAGCGATGGTAGTAACAGTAGTAACGCGTTGTAACGCGTGGACATCGGGGAATGTTGTAATGGCGTATGCACGGTATATTAATGCCGCGTTCCACGCACACTTTCCGCTTTCAATTTAATCCACAATGCTTTTTCTACCCTCAGTGTGCTCTCGTCCTTTTTCTCTCTCTCTCTCTCCTCTTCCCCTTATCTTTTTCTCCCTTGGTACACTCGCCTATGTTATAAAGTGGGCGGAAACTCTCTTAACGATGTGCCGGATCCTTAATGCGAGGAAAAATTGATTTCTTTATACGGCGAATTCCCTACTTATACGCGCCGTCGCATGGCCATCCGTTATTACTTAAATTTTTACGGAAAGATGTTATAAATTTCATGTAAAGAATGGCAGTGCTTTTCAAATTATACCAATATTATCTGTCACGATGTAAGGACAGTTATATTTATTGTAAAAAATTATACGATTTCGTTAATGACGATAATTTTTCAAAATTTTCATGATTATCGCAGATTATATTACACTTATTAGAATACTGTTCAAATATCACGTTCACCTTTAACATTTAGATTCCAACCACT